TCACGAGGGGTCTGCCTCTTCAGCTCTTAACCTGGCCGCCAGATACCACCGATATACCTAGCAGACCCCTGCTCTGAGGATTGTAGTACCCCTCTCCTTCCCTTCCCCATGTTCCCCATGTTCCCTCCTCTGAGGATTGTAGTACCCCTCTCTTTCCCTTCCCCATGTTCCCCATGTTCCCTCGTCCCCCGTACCATTCCAATTCCATGTTCCCTCATCCCCCATACCATCCCAATTCTACTATACTGTTCGCAAGGGGGGGGGAAGAGATCTGGGAAGTCATCCGTCGTTCTCATTGGAATTGCAGGATCCACCTTGGCCCACTCGTGGAAGGTCAGCCGATACGTCTCAGGTCGCTCTTCCTTTTCCTGAGCTCTCCCCAGATCCCCTTTTGTTCCCACCCGTTCCACCGTCCCTATCCTTCCCCCGTTCTTCCCCCCAAGCCAGTTTGCACTGAAGTCTTGGATTTTTTGTTGTATTTCTTTCTGTGTGTGTATATGACAAATTTGTGCCTTGGTCTCTTCCCAGTGTGTTGTTATATCGGTTTGTATTTGCTGTTGTATCATCTCTGTGAACTCCGGTTCGTCCATTCTCACTCCTTCCATCTCATACGTGCAGCGTCGTCTCCATAGTGCCCAAATCACGACCCTGCGTCCCAGCTTGAAGATATTATGAGTGAAAACAGCCGCCTGCTCCTTTGTCCATGTTTCTAACAGGAGCGCTCTTCAGTTCCAGGGCCAGGCCGTTGGTCTCGGCCGATTCCAAATTCTGTCCCACCATCGCCAGAGCCAGATAGCCCTTGGGCACTGCAAAAAGATATGCTCTATTGTTTCTGATCTTTTCCTGGAGAGGAAGGAGCTGGTGCATAACTTGCACCACGGGAGGGCTCGTCCCGTCTCTTCGAGGTTCGTCCGGTCTATCAACCAATCATTGGTTGGTAGGCAGCGGTGTTCCATTTGCCACTGGAGGGCGGCCAGTTTTGCAGGTTTCGATTTGGCTAGATGGAACCATTTAACCCCCCAGAGTTCATTTTTACTGATGTTTAAATGCCGCATCCATCTATCCTCTACCCGGGCCCGGAGGTCAGTTCGAGGGCACCACATTCTATACGCAGACTTGACTGTCATACTGTGGAGGGTCCTGGTGCCCGGTTTCCTCCTTTCCCCCGGGACTGTCCATGACCATTTCGCTGGGTCAAAAGGTAGCTGCGCAATGGGGGTGTCCGGGGAGAAGGCCACCGAGTTAGCTCCATCCTTAAGGACCCTGACCCGCGATAGTTCCTCTTTGCAGTAGAATCGTATCTCCTCTGGTGTTGGCCGATACAGGGTGTTATCCCGACCGATTTGGAAGATATCGACCACCACTGGCCCAGTCGGGCTGCATTCCACCACATTCCCAAGTTCCCCTTGAGCGCCCGGGATCTGCACCCAGTCCGACTCCCGTAACGTGGGACCTTGCCTGAGGATTTTCCACCAGTTGAGGGGGATTCTCTCAATGATTTCCTCTAGGGCCTTCTCCACTGTACCGTAGCTTTTGCCTCAGCAGGTCCGTGTCAATCCAGTTGGTCGTAGCCGGGTCCCATATATCCCTGACTCTGATCACACCTCTCTTCACCCACACCCGCCAAGGGGAGTCCGCCCCCCGTAGGACCTGGCCTCTGGGATTGACCAGTTTCCGATTGTCAAAGAGAGGTTGTCGAAACACCTCATCCCATCGCTTGGGTAGTATCTTATCCGGCAGGGGAAGGCTCCTCCATGTGTTCAGCAGGGATGGCCAGAAGCGATCATTGCGCAGATCATTCCTTGCCCGTTTTCTCGGCGAATTCAGCTCGGGGTTCTGATGTCTGGTGTTTCCTCGCGGTATTGGCCAACCCCTATTTTCCAGCCACGTTAGTGGGTGCGTTCGCGTGGCCGTTTCCCGAGCCAGCCTAGATATTTGTTCCAGGGCCAGCCCTCGCCATGGGGTGTCCGGGTTAAAGAGCAGGCGTTTGAGCCATTGCAGGGCTAAGGCCCTGGTTTGAATTGTTGGGTCAATTATGCCCAGCCCCCCTCTAGCCTTGGGCTGGATTATGGACTGCCATGCTACCCTGCTGATCACGTAGTGTTTTTCCGAGTCACCCCTCCATAGAAATGCGGCTATCCGACGTTTCAGAGGTCGGAGGGCTGCATTGTCAAGAGCCCAAATAACTGACCGGTACCACAGGGAGGCAAAAACGACATTGTTAATTACCAAGGATCGTCCCATCAGCGAGGTATGTCGGTCCTTCCAATGTGTTAGCTTTTCCAAGGGCGGTTTGGAAATCCAATCATTATTCCCTGATGGTCGCCCGTTTGCTGACAGTGCAACACCCAACACCCGGATGGGGCTTCATTTGGGAGCCATTTAACTTTCGGTGTCTCTGGAGGTCTGACCCCTTGATGGTGGATCCACCATCCCAAGGTTTTGTTCCCCCAGTTGACTCTCATATCCAACAGGGAACAAAACCTTTCCATCATTTGTTGCACCTCCTCCATTGATGCATGGGATGCCTCCACCATCAGTGTGAGATCGTCAGCGAACAGCGAACACACCGGGATTGCGTCCTTGGGGATTGAAGAGATCTGGATTTTCCTAATGTCCTTGTTGGTTCGCAAATTCGCTGCGAGGGCTTCCATTACGATCACAAACAAGTACGGGGCAATCGGGTCCCCTTGCCTAACAAATCTATGAAGGGAGATAGGCGGCGGGAGGTAACCATTGATCATGACCCTAGTTGTCGCGTTTTTGTGCAGGATTTTCACCCAGCGCCTGAAGGCGGGACCAAAATTGAGCTTCTCCAGGCATTTGTCTAGAAAAACCCAATCCACATGATAAGCTTTTTCAAAATCAATAAAGATAATTGCCGCGTTGTGTTTTGACTGTGTTGTAAGTTTAATCACCTCATTGACAAGAAGGATGTTATCTTGGATGTTCCTGCCTTTAATGAAGCCAGTCTGGTCAGGGTGGATGACGTCGGCCATTATCTTAGCCATAAGGTTGGTCAGTGCCTTCGCCACCATTTTATAAACCACTATGAGGAGAGTGATAGGCCGATAGTTCCGGATATTAGTGCTTTCACCTTTCTTGTAGAGGAGCGTCAGCACCCCTTGGCCCACAAATTCCCCCATTTGGCCTGTCTCCCACAATGTGTGATAGTATTCCATCAGGTCTTGGGAGATGGTTCCCCACATTGACTCCTTGAACTCTTTTGGCAGACCATCGATACCCGGGGTCTTCTCCTCATCCATGAGCATCAGGGCTGTCCACACCTCCTCCTTTGTTAGTGGCATCTCCAGCTGCTCCCGCTAATGCTCTGTAAGATAGTAGTCCATCAGGTCTTGGGA